TTTGTTGCCAGCACTCCATGAGATGCTCTTTATGGATGATTACAGAGAAAGCTAACAGGGATTGAGCACCCTCTAGGCCCCTGGCTTGCTGGGCAAGGGCTTTATGTGAATTCATTCATTTCCTCGAGCCCAACACCCATCCGAGGTGAGGTACTGTCACTTAGAACAGCAGGCGGGGCTCAGATTTCGTTCTTGTCTTTGGCATTAAGCAGCCTCAGGCTTTTGAGTTTCTGTTCCTCAGGCAGGTTTCAGATCCACACTCCCTGACTTCTGGAGGTTACAGGGCCTCGGGACTGGCGCCCCGCAGCCCTTGGGCCAAATACGGCCCGCCGCCCGTTTTTGTCAATAAAGTTTTATTGGGGGGCGCCTGGGTGGCTCCGTCGGTTTCAGCTTGGGACCCTTGGTATCAGCTCGGGTCATGATCTTGGGGTTGTGAGTTCAAGCCCCGCGTTGGTCCCTGGAACCTACTTTAAATATAAAGAAAGAAATAATAAAGTTTTATTGAAACACAGGCATTCATTTGCCTGTCGTCAGTGGCAGCTTTCCTGTGACGATGGCAAAGTGGAGCCGTTGCAGCAGAAGACTGCAGAGCCCCAGAGTAAAAAATACTTCCCGCCCGGCCCTTTCAGAAAGTTTGCCAGCTCCATCATATAGAATTGTGGTTACGAGAAGCACCAGCTTGCGGAGTCAGACAGGTTGGGCTTGGGTTCCGATCCTGGCCTCCACCCCACACCAGCTGTTCAACTGAGTGCAAGTGCTTTCTCCTTCTGGTCCTCAGTCTCCACATCCATGAGATGGGGCTGGTTACACTTCGCACCTCAGCGGGGAGCAGTGAAGACCGAAGGAGAAAGCGCCCATCAGGCTCTCAGCACCGTGAACGGCATGCAGCAAATAATCCGTAGATGTCAGCCATTACAGGGGGTAACAGGACGGCCTCCTCCGAGCGGCTTCCTTTGCATTACGTTCTGGGTTGTACTGCTCTCAGTCAAGTTGGCGGCGGCCTCGGTGGGTGCTCCCGAGGGGCTCGGAGTCTGATGAGGAGACCTGGCCTCTTCCCGTAGAACTAACTGGCCTGGCCGATTCTGGGGGTGGGGGTGGGAACCACCCCAGGGAGGAGAGAGGATCGGGCTTCAGGGCTGGAAGTCTGCTGTGTTCACCGGGAGGGAGCACTGTGTCATCCTCTTCCCAGCCCACAGACGTGGGTCCGGCCACCCAGTTTTGTCAGTGAAAACAGGAAGTCAGAGGGAACACAGTCCAGAGAACAGCCTCACTCCTGACAGCAGCTGCAGGCTCAGGGGTTCGATGATTTCCTAGAAAGACACACAGAACTCACTGGAGGCTCTCGTGCTCGTGGTGATGATTTATTACCGGGAAGGGACACAGATTCCAACCAGCTGAGCCGAGGGAGTGTGTGGGGCGGAGTCCAGGAAAGTTCCAGACAGAGCTCCCACATGCATTACACTCTTGGTATAAACGTGTGATACACAAACACACAGACACACACACAATGGTGCCAACGAGGGAAGATCACCCGAGCCTTAGTGTTCAGAGTTTTTACTGGGTGTTCTGGGCTGAATTGTGCCCCCCCCAAATTCATATATTGAAGTCCTAGCCCCCAGGACCCTAGCACATGACCTGATTTGGAAATGGGGTTGCTGTTGCAGATGGAATTAGTTAAGAAGAGGACATCCTGGAGTAGGGTAATAATCCAGTATGGATTATTATGGATTATAATCTGTGATCCAATATGACTGGTGTCCCCGTGAAAAGGGAACATTCAAACAGAGACTCACACACAGGGAGAAGCTGTGTGAAGACGAAGGCAGAAATCGGGGTGATGTGTCCGTAAGCCAGAGGACACCAAACATTGCCCGCAAACCACGGCGAGCCGGGGGAGAGGCATGGGGCACGGTCTCCCTCGCGGCCTCAGAAGGAGCCAGCCCTGGCGGCACGGAGCTCTCGACTTCTGGCTTCCAGACTGGGGGAGAGTAAGGTCCTGTTGTTGGAGCTCCACAGTCTGTGGTTCTTTGTCACAGCAACCCAAGGACACAAGTACAAAGGCACGGTTGATTGCCCATGAGGCAGATCTGTCTCCAGTCCCTTTGGGTGTCACCCAGAGTCCGTGTGGCTGGACTCTCCAAAGTGACCAGGGCCCCCAGGCAAACCAAGCCTCTCCTGCCAGGCATGGCAGCCCAGGGGCTTAGAGGTGGCCTCCCAGAAGCCGAGCACAGAGGCCAGACCTCTTTCCCACGCAGAGGCCCAGAGAGGAGACGTGACCTGCCCAGGGTGGCACGGAGAGCGAGCAGTTGGCCTGAATTAGAGCCAGGGTGCTCACCACTGTGTCCGTTGCTGGCAGCTTTTCTGAGCACCCGGCCCAGGTCAAGCTGCAGATGGGCCAAGAAATTGGCCTGATTCCATTGCTTTAGGTCACCTGATGTTCATGCTTTTGTGGATTCGAACAGGCTGTCTTTGACAGTCCAGGCATGAACTGCCCATCAGAGGGGCACCCCTTAGGTGGCCAGAGGTCACCCTGAGAAGCCCCCTGTGATTTTTCCCACTGCGCACCCGCCATCCTTCCTCCTCCTGTGGTCAGGGCGAGCTATGGGGACCACATCAGCTTCCAATTCTGTATGACAAATTACCCTCAAACCCAGTGGCTTTAACATGTATTATCTCTGTGTCTGTGGCTTGGGAATTCAGGAACGACTTTGCTGGGAGCTCCTGGCTCAGGGTCTCTTGTGGGGTTACATTTAAGCGGTCAACAAGGGCTGCAGTGTCACCCAAAGGCTTGACTGGGCTGGAGGACTCCCTCTCCTGGTGGCTCCCTCACAGGGCTGTTGGCAGGAAGCCTCAGTCCCTCACCACACACCCCCGGTTGCTTGCTTGTCCCCACAGCATGGTGGCTGGCTTCCCCCAGAGCGAGAGGGCAGGGAAGAAGTTGCAGTCCTTTGTGACCTTGTCTTAGAAGTCCCACACCATGCCTTCCGTCATATGCCGTGTGCAAGAATCCATGCTAAGTCCATCCACACAGAAGGGGAGGTGGATCAGACTCCACCTCTTGGGGACATGCTTGAGAACCACTGACCCGCCCCCCCCAGGGGCCATGAGGAGCAGCGGGAATAACAATCACCCCATTCCCCAGCTCCTGCTGTTGACTAGGGACCCAGATACCTGAGCAAATGTCATGAAAAACAAGGTGGTGTGGGGTCTAGAGACAAGGATTTTTACACGCAGTTCAGCAGTGCCTGAAGGTCATTTCCAGTTTAAAGCACTCCACTTGCTCTCTCCCAGGCACTGTGGGCGCAAGGGAGACAGATGAATGAGACACTGGCCGTCCTCCAGACGCTCACGGTAAAGGGAGACAGAATTAAGAACGAATGTTTCAGTACAGTGTGATCAGTGCTGGAAGAAGATTGATGAATGAATCAGTGTAGATGGACAAAGGAGGGAGGGATCACATGTGCTGGGACATCTTCCCCAAAGAAGAGCCTATTTTGCTGGGCTTTGAAGGGTAAGCAGGAGCCCATTGCCCTGCAAAGGAAGAAAGAACATTCCAGGCAGAGAGAGTAGCGTGTGCAAAGGCCCAAAGGCATTGGGAGCCCAGGCTTTTGGGGAACTGTGAGCAGTTTGGGGAGTGTGGGCAAGTGGCAGGGAATGAGGCTGCAGGTAGTTCAGGCCAGATTGTGAAGGCTGGCTATAATTTATGATCACCATTTCCCAAAATGTATTTCACAACTCATGGTTCTGTGAGATGTTAATAGGCATTCTTTCAAAAACAGACCCCAAGGTTACTTAAGTTCAGGAAGCCCAGGGTTGAGCTCAGTGAAAGCTGCTTCCCTACTGCAGGACTTCTCAGAGCCTTTAATTCTCTCTAACATGCAAGAGAATCTCCACGAGAAAGATAGATTAGATGGGATCCAATCAACATTCAAATATATGGTGTTCCCAAACTCATGTGATTGTGGGACCCCCTTCCTGAGGGAGTCTCAGGAGGCCAATGTTCTAGGGAACACACTGTGGGAGCTACTGCTCATAGCTGGTTGTCAAGAGTTAGTGAGGGTCCCGCAAGTATGTGGTATGATCAGGTTCGCAGTTTCTGGCCCAGAGACGGGTTAGGGGCATGGGGAGGGAGAGAGGAGGACTGCAAAGATGCTGAGGGATGGCACCTGCGGGCTTGTGATGGGTTAGTTTGTCTCGGGGGTTGGAGGGTGGAGCAGGAAAGGGAGGAATTGTGGCTCACACTCTGGTTTCTAGCGCATCGTGGTTCCACTGACTCAGAGGGGAAGCATGGAGCAAGGCGTGTGATGTGGATGACTTGGGGGTGCTTTTCTGTCAGCTGGAGGTCTGTACCCAGGCGTGGCCGGGTCACCTGAACCTCATTAGCAGCAGCCTGCAGGACCACAAATTCACGGCCGTGGAAGAAATGGACAGATGGCTGGGAAAGCCCAGCTTACCCAAACTGACACAGGAAGAAACAGAAAACCTGACCAGCCCCCTGTCGATGAAAGACACCAAATTTGTAACCTAACGTCTCTGCCCAAAGCAAATGCCTGGCTCAGGCAGCTCCGCTGGGGAATCCAGTCCAATGTGTCAGGGAGAAACGAGCCCCATGTCACAGACACCCTTTCGGACGGTGACGTGGGGGAGAGGTATTGGCAGGCAGGGCTCCGCGTCGGTCGGGCCGCGTTCCCGTTCGAGCTGCGCGGCTCGCGTCCATTTAGAGCCCTGTTCTGGGCGCCCGCTGCGTGTCAGGCACTGTTCTGGGCGCTGGGGCCACGTCAGTGGACAAAGCGGGGACAACTCAGTGCCGTCCCCGAACGATGCAAGCTTGGACAGGCCATCCAGTGGGGGGTCCCTCCCCGTGTGTGCAAAGTGGAGCGGCGGGGAGGGAGGGAGGCCGGCAGGCAGCCCACGGCGGGCAGTTCCAGGCGGCCACTGATGCTTGTCTCCCTGTCGTGTGTGTGTGTGTGTACCTGTGTGTCCCACGCCTGCCCTCTCAGGCTTTAAAATGTGTGGCGGTAGCCATGACGAGGCCCCCGTCCTGAGCGACAAGCACCTGGACGTGCCCAACATCATCATCACCCCCCCGACCCCCACGGGCATGATGCTGCCACGGGACTCCAGGCAGACAGGTGAGGCGCCCGCCACCGCTGCCAAGCTGTCTGGGGGGCCTGGCTGGGGACAGCTCCCGGGGGGGCCCCCTTTTGCCGTGGGTCTGAGCTCACGTCCCCACCTGCCGGAGTTTGTTAAAAATTTATGCTGGGATCTGCGTACGCTCCACCGAGGGCCCCTCGCACGCACCAGCCTCAGCAAGATGTGGCCTATTAAGTAATTAGCTAGACAGCCCCTGCCGGCAGCCGGGGCGCGTGATGGATGGGGCTGGGCAGGCCCAGCGAGGTAATGGATGGATGTGCCTTCCCCTGCCAGCTGGGGACTAGTGCTCCGTCTTGCCGGCCACAGCAGTTCTGCTGGACAGGACAGCCTTGGAAACACACCACGTCTGGGCCCAGCTGCTCTCCGGCCCTCCTAGATGCTGCTCACTTAAGGGAGTGGGGAGGAGACAGACTTGTTTCCAGAGACAGGTGCAGACCCGTGCCCTCACCTGTGGGCACCGTGGACACTGTTGGAGCCGGTGGGACGGCTTGTTCATTTGTTCATCAAAGAGAGTTAGGGGGCCATACCTGTGCGAGGGGCTGAGGCTGCCGTTGTGAATAATAGTAATAAAAAATACTGATGTTAGCAGTAAGCAGTTTCTCATGGAGTCCTCAGGGTGACTCTGGGCTAGGTCCTGTTTTCATCCCCGTTTTACGGATGGGCAAACTGAGGGTCAGAGAGGGTGAGATGCTCACCATAGAGCTGGTAAGTGGCAGGGTTGGGATTCAGACCCAGCCGTGTGATCTGGAGCCTGCCCTGTGGCCCCGAGGCTAGGCGCCCCCCCAGTGGCTCGCATCAGTCAGCCAACCAGCCGTCAGGACATCAGTCCTGCCTGGCTCTTGCTGGGAGCACAGGCTGACCAGGCTTGATGTGGGGGGGCTGGGTAGGCTTTTCCAGAAGTGCTGAGCTTGCCCACCAGGCCGGATGATCGGGAGGAACCCACTGGACCCCCTCTGGGCCGGGCCCTATGCGGGGACGGGTGCTGGGCCATTCTCAGTAATGACTCACCCTGGGTCACCTTCCTTTATCACCCTCCCAAGTGCCAGGCACTGGGCTGAAGTCTTCTCACAATGTTTATTCTCCTGCCAACCCTGAGGGCTGTGAAAACCACCCTTATCTCTAGTTTACAGATGGGAGACCTGAGGTCCAGAGAGGGACGGTGACTCACCCAAGGGCACACAGCAAGGTGGGAGAAGAGCTGGGCTCTTGCTCTGTGTCCAACCAGAGAGCTCAGTGCAGGCAGCAGAGGCTCAGGCCCTTCGCTCTACCATTAGGCTCCCTGCCCTGCCAGCCTTGGTGTCCCCATCTGTAGAATGGGGTTATAACCCCCATCCCTGCCCCCGGGGCCAGTGTGAATGTGGGCAGGCTCAGGGTCACTTTACAGGGTCAGAGTCCCTGGCTCGCAGAGGAATTCCGAAACCCCAGAGAGGCCCCTTTAAGTGTAAGCAGCTGCAGGGGTGGATCAGCACAGAGGGCCTGAACAGGTATACCGTCCTGTCCTACCCGCCCGGACCCCGTGCCTCTGCTTTTCCCCTTTCAGAGAACGGAGGCATAGGATAAAAGGCACGGACCACTGGGTCAGAGAACCCTGAATTCACATCCCTGCTCTGTGACTTAGCACCTTGTGACACTGAGCAAGAGGGGCTACCTCCCTGAGCCTTGATTTCCCCATCTGTAAAATGGTGCCTCAGAGAGGTTGGGGAGGATCCGGTGACAAGGACAGGGTCTGACTTCATGCCCTGCACAGAGGCGGTGTTGTTCATATTCTCACCAGTGGTATTTAGGGCAGGAGGAGAACTCCAGACCTGGGTAGCACTTCTTCCAGTGTTGCTGGCTCCGAGTGATGATCAGAGACCTGGGCCTCCCCAGGCAGTGAGGGGTTGGGCCCCCCTGGCTGGCTTGGAGCAGGTCTCCCCTGCTCTGGGCCTCAACTTCCCATCTCTAGGACAGGGTCATGGAGGTCCTGACCTCCCGTCCAGTCCCGGCCTTGAAGGCACCTCCCAGAAGATGCTGAGCCAAGGGTGGGGCCCAGGGGTACAATCTGAGGAACCTCAGCCAGGGCCCCAGGCGAGCTCTGCATTGGGTGTGGGCGGAGGGTGCGTGGGGAAGGCCCACGAGACCCAGTGTCACCCGGTCCCCTGTCAACAGCCTTACCCGCCTGTATGTGGGGGGGAGTTCGGGGTGGTGGTACAAAGCAGGGAGCCCAGAGGCTCTGGCCTTGGAGCTCTGGGGGAAAGGGAGCCTGGATGTGGTGGGTGCCCACCCAGATGCTGACTCCTCGTCTTCCTCCTAGTCTGGCTGGATGAGACAGGGTCGTGCCCAGAGGATGGAGAAATAGACCCCGAAGCCTGAGGAGGAGGCACAGGTCAGAGACTGTCCTGCTCCAGGGGCCCCCAACCCCACATGTCCCTGGGGGCGTGGCTGCCCGGGACAGATGCGCTGAGCACGCCGGACCCTGGAGGGGAAAACGAAAGAATCCGGCACCTGACCAGCTGCAATGTGGCAAGAAGAGCAAGGAATCAGCCGGCCCTGCCTGCATGCAGAGCCAAGTTTCCCGGGCCCCGCTGAGCTGACCAGACCTCTCACGCCCACACGGTCATGGTGACGGCCACCGGGGTGGAGGGAGAGGCTTTCTCCTGGACAAACGTACCCTCCCTGAGCCCTGGGCCACACAGTCGGGTGTGCATGAAGTCAACACACGCAAGAACTTGCAGAGGAGTGGCTCCGTTTTTTACAAGTTGTTTTACAGATATCAAAACAGTCCAGAAAGTGATTTATAATTCCTTTTTTGCATTATAAATAAAGGTCATCTGTAACAAACAGTGAGCCCTGCTTCTTGGGCTGGGCAGAGACGATGGAGCGCACGCAGGTACAGAGGTGAAGAGAATCGCTTCCTACAGAGGGAGGGGCAGGGCTGGCCGGTGTGGGGGCGGGGCCTTTGGACGGTCGTGGGCCCCCCTCCCCCCCCCCATTCGCACACTGCCAGGGAAGCCTGAGCAAGGCCCAAGGCACGGACTCTGAAGTCACGTGGGCCCGAGTCCCAGCTCCGTCCTCACCAGCTGTGGGATCCTCGTCATGATATGTGTCTAGGATGGGAGGCGGTGGTTCTGGGTTTGGTGCTTTTCGAGAACATCAAACCCTTGGTGTCCCCGTTCCCCTCCTAGACTGTTCTGATGGTGGCACCTTTGTCTGGCTTCTATCAGAGGCCCTGTGGTTCCCGCTGTGTTGTCGGTTTCCTGAAGCAGCAGAGCCTGAGCAAAGGCTTTGTGGGGAAAGAGTTTATTTGGAAGGTGATCCAGGAGCACACGGGGAGGGAGGGAGGGGGGCAGTGCAGTTGGGGGCGGGGGAGGACCCCAAGACCACTCTCGGGTTCAGGAATTCCCTAGAGGGACTCAGAACTCAGAAAAGCCACTCTGGCTGTGCCGTGTTTATGGTTTCTTACAGCGAAAGAATGCAGATTGCAATCCTCAAAGGGCAGAGATGACAAGGGTGGGGCCCAGGAGAGAGCACACGGGGAAGTCCTGCGGGCAGCATTTGGTTCTCCAGCCTCCATGATGACGCACGCTCGGGGTACCGCCAACCAGGGGAGCGCACTGGGACGCCGGGGTGTCCGTGGTTTTCCCTGGGGGGTTGGCCACATAGACACGGCTAGCCGCCCACATGGTGACCTCAGTGTCCAGCCCCTCTGTAAATCACACCGTCAGACTCTTCTGCGTGACCGAGGCTCCAGGTAAACAAAGATAGTCTTATCAGGCAGGACATTCCTAGAGCCTCCAGGTCACCTACCAGGAGCCCAGGGCAAAGTCCCGATCTCTCTGGGGGGTCCTCCCTCTCCCTGTCCCCCTGCCCCCCCCCCCCGCACGGTCTAAATAAATAAAATCTAAAAAAAAGAAAAGAAGTCGCACTTCCCAGCATGTTCCCAGAGCTCACACACAACAGGTGCACCAGCTGTTATTTCGTGCTCATGCAGCTGGAGGGGTGCCAGGCAGTTCTGAGCACCTCTAACGCGTAGGATATTCTTGGAGGAAACTCCTAGAGGTCACGCATTAGTCAGCTTTCTTTTTCGCTGTGATATTGCTGTGTACAAACAACCCCAGCTCTAGGCTGAATGTGTACCCACCCCCCACATCTGCATGTTGAGACCTAATCCCCAGTGTGACGGAGTAAGGAGGGGGGCCTCTAGGTCATGCAGCTGGAGCCCTCGGGAACGGATTGGTGCCCTTACAAGAGAGACCTCAGAGAGATGCCACCATGTGAGGTCATGGCCAACTGTGAACCGGGAAGCAGGCCCTCCCCAGACACCGAATCTACTGGTGCCTTGATCTTGGACTTCCCAACCTCCAGAAACGTGAGAAATACATTTCTAGCAACCCAAAGACACGAAGACGCACGTGCTCCCCAAACTCACTGGCTTAAGACAGCGGATCTTCAGTGTCTCACCCCCTGGTCTTTAGGTAGGTGGGCCATGGCTCTACTGAATGGCCGTGAGGAGCTGGGTTCAAATCAGCTCTGTGTGTTCCCTCCAGCTGTGGCCAGCCACTGCCCCAGTGTGCTGTCATGGAGGGTGGCGGGAGCGCAGAGCCCAAGCCAGGCCACGCGAGTGTATTCTCAGCTCCTGCTCATGGCTTGGGGCCCCAGTCCCCGACTCTGGGCACCAGGGGGAATGCTGGGCCAGAGCGCTGGCGCTGGGCACGAGCCCTAAAGACTGGCTCGGTCTACATGCCAGGGCGCAGGAGGAGTCCCCGCATCTCCCCGGGCACAGCTCAGAGGCCTCCAGCCCACTCAGCAACCTGCTGTGGCTAATCCTGGCTTCATCCCAGGCTTTTAGTGCCCATGGCAACAGCAAGAAGGCTGTGAGCTGGAGCCCAGGCAGGAGGGGGTCAGTCAGAGGTGGCGCAGTCCCAGGATGCTGGATATGGCTTTCTTGCAGGGTCAGAGTGAGTTCCCTCGCTCTCATGGCGTGCAGGGTGTCCGTACTAGTCCCTGGCTTGGTGCCTCTTGTAGCTGGAGCCTCCATCCCTGGTGAAGCCAGCATCCTTAGGAGGGTGCCTGCTGAGTACGGGGAGAGAGACCTTTCCTGGTGACATCTGCACCCCCAACCTGCAGCAAAGGCCATGACACTGCCCAGCACCCTAAGCCTCTGCCTTCAAGCGAGCTCTCTCTCCCCACAAGGGAGGGGCGAGGTGGAGAGGGCTTGCTCAGTGCACACTCCTGCCCGGGGAGGGCATGCAAGTAGGGAGCAGGGCACCCCACTGCAGCTCTAGCATCCCACATAGGAGCTGTCAGAAAGAATGGGGGGAGTGGGTACGAGCAAGGGCTTTGGTGTCAGCAAGACCCATGTTGTAATGTGTCACTTTGGAAAGTCACTTGACCTCTCTGGACCTTTTTTTAGCCTAGAAAGTGAAGATAAGATGGGGAGCATCTGAGGATTAAGTAAAATAGTCTATGTACCACCTCCATGGTGCCTGGCAGGGATCAAATAGTCGATCCACGGGAGTCATTCTGATCAGGCAGGTCACCAACCCCTCTGGGCCTCCATTTTCATCTGGAGGATGGAGACAATGCCCCGAGGGACCTGAGGATTACTGACAGTGAAGGTACGAACATGGGGTGGGTGGTGGGGGTGGGGACTTTACCTGCAGTGGGTGCTAGGGGAGCCTGCATGTCTGTAACAACAGCATTCCAGAGCAAGCACCTGGGGCTTTTTTGGGAGCAGAAGCAGGGGGGCTGGGGGCTCTCAAGGCCAGCTGGAAGTACCAGGTCACCCCCTCTGGATGGGTTAGCAGATAACCCCCTGACCCACCCCACCACCCCTCCCCCCACCCCACCCATGCTGTGCTCTTTGTGGTGGTGGTGAGGCAATGCTGAGGAATGTTCTGGACTACACTAATGCTTCTCGCACTTGAAGGTGCTCCCAGTAGCAATCTGGTTCAAACGCAGATTATGTTTTGGGAAGTCTGGGGTGGAGTCTGCGATTGTGGATTCCTGCTTCCTAGCCTAAATCCAGTCTGTCCCAATGCTCTATTTATCAGTGGGGGAAATTAAGCAAGTTACTTTGCCTCCCCGAGCCTCAGTTTCCTTGATCTTCAAGTGGGGATGATAACTAGGTTTTCCGGCAAGATTAAATGAGCGAATACACAGAACCTAGAATAACGTGGCATAGGATCCAAAGAGTCCTCCAGAACGTTAGCAATAATGCTGATGTTAGCACAGCTGTGTTGGAGAAGACCCACCAGGCCCACCTGTGCGGTCGCAAACTTGTGAAGTTGTTCAGTTTTGTGTGGACTTGGCCCTTCATGATGTAGCCCGGGGCACAGGGATGCAAGAGCACCTGGTTCTGGGGTTCATGAGCAGACCTGGTTTGGCCACTCGCTGCTGACAAAATCCAAAGTGATAGGGAAACAAGAAAGGAATTTATTTCAGTGAAGCCAGCACTGGGAAGACGGTGGACTAGCAGCTCGAAGTCTGTCTCCAAAGTGCCAAAAATACTTCCAGTTTATCTAAGGAAAACGTGGGGCAAAGGTGGGTGGGTGCGTGCAGGTAGGCAGTGAAGGTCAAATGCATCCCTGTCTTGGGTCAATCACGAGAGATCTCGCAGGCTCAGGGCGGTCTGTATCGCTCGAGGGGGTAGCTTCTGGGATGCTTTGCCCTCAGAGTCTTCCACCTGAGCCGAAGGACTAGCTGGAAAGGAGAACCCAAACTAGCAAGTTTGAGGTCAGGGGCGCCTGGCTGACTCAGTGGGTGGAGCAGCGACTCTTGATCCTGGGGTTACGAGTTCAAGCCCCACCTTCAGTGTAGAGATTACTTCAAAATAAAAACTTAAGGGGCGCCTGGGTGGCTCAGATGGTTAAGCGTCTGCCTTCGGCTCAGGTCATGATCCCAGGGTCCTGGGATCGAGCCCCACATTGGGCTCCCTGCTTGGCAGGGAACCTGCTTCTCCCTCTCTCTCTACTGTTCTCTCTCGCTCTATCAAATAAATAAATAAAATCTTCAAAAAAAAATAAATAAAAATAAAAACTTAAAAAAAGTTTGCGGTCAGAATGGAGGCGGCAGCTGAAGTCCTTTGTCAGTGAAAGGTGGGGGGGTGCTTACATAGGAGGGGGTGGGTGGGGTGGGTGCCTCTTCAGGGCTGGTCTGGAATGATGACTTACGTGAACCCAAAGCATGGCTCCCTAACTCTTACTTCTTCAGTATGTTCTTCCTTAAATACGTCCTGGGGGAAATGGATACTAATGTCTGTACTTTTTCATTTACTCTTAATGCCAAAGTCGTGCACACCGATTAAAACCAACAATAACGCTTTGTGAGTGGCTCCCCCCCCCAAAGTGTGTGTCGGCGGGGTGTGACGCAGAGCCTGGGGTCACTGGCGACAAGGAACTAGATGGACGTCAACAGCTCTGACCCCCGAGAAGGCCCGTTCGCCCTAATCCCGGCGTGTCCCAGAGAAGCTCCCAGGTTCCAGGAGGCGCGGGAACGTTCCGGCCCACGACTAGGGATTCGTGCTGTGTGCCTCCAGGAGGGGTGGCTGGGAGGGGAGAGAAGTGTGAAAACAGATGGAAATGTAATGTTTTAATGACAGCAGCAGATGGCAAAAAGACACAAGAGTGTATTCACACCGTGTCAGAGCCATTTGAAAGCGCCCGCCCTGCTCGGCGGTTCTCTCGCCGGCTCCCCCGCCCAACCCTGGAGGCCCGGGAGCTGCGGGGAGGGTTGCGCGGGCCCCCAGGAGGGGCGGCCGCCTGGAGCCACAGGTGGATGGGGAGCTCCCTTGGCCACCTGGGGGCTGCTGGGCTTTAATGGGCTCTGCTTTCACACAGTCCCTACTCCGGGCGCCCTGGGGCTGCCCGAGGCCAGGCCGTGGCCAAGGCTCACCTGCACTTCTGCTCACAGCCT